ATCAGTTTCAGATCTTATCTGTTTTAGGTCTTATCGCCTTCTAACCTTACTAGTTTTGGGTATATTTCAATTTTAGATCTAATCAGTTTGGGATCAAATAGGTTGGATTTAATCAGTTTTGGATTTAAATTGGGTATGGATTTATTTAGTTTGGTTTTGATTCGGTTCGGATCATTTCAGTTATTTGGTTATAAATCAAATCTTCACACTTTTTGGATCACTTCGGTTTCCATTTCGAACCATTCAATTCAGGTAATCGATTTTGGGTCTGTTTTGCCCTAGTCTAGCCGCGCCACAACAGTACTGATTATCCTCATCATTTCACCCACTTCATACACGTAGTGTCTACTACTATGATTACACTTTTATTTTTATTTAATATTAACCTATTTGTACTCAAATCAGAACTTCTATATTTTAAAAAAGAATACAAATATGTTTCTATTTTCTAGTTTATTAATGTTTTCCGTTCATTTTTCCCTCTTCCGGGTTCATTATTTTTTCGTGTTTATTTCCGGTTAATTTTTTCAGGTTTCCTTTTTCCCCTTCTTTTATACTGTAACAAAAAAATAAAAATATAAACTACATTAATTAAAAAAGTATATGAATAATAAAAGTAACACAAAAAGTAATTTAATTTAAAACAAAATATAAGCGAAACATAATTCATACATAAAACGTATTTCGTTGAAAAACTAGTAATAAAACATACTTTTTCCCATTTTGAAGTGTTTGGGCAAAAAAAATAAGTGAGACATAATGTCAAAATTATAAATTCAATATTGGTATCGTTGGTAGATAGGGATGGTAATTCTATCCGAATCTAACTTTTACCGACCCGACCGAGGCTAATAATATCCGAATCTAAACCAAAAAGCTAAATATTCGAAACTGACTCGAAAAAATTTAAACCAAACCCGACTTTTGTCGGGTTGGGTTAGATATTTGACCAACCCGACCCGACCCGACATGTACCTGACTTTTAATAAATTTTTAAAAACTCTAAATTCCTGCATTTTTGATTCACATGTTTTTAATATTTTAAAACAAATTACATTTTTTCTGTTTCATTTTTTATTATGGTTTAACCTTGTGTGTCACACATATGTTATTTTCTTTGTACTCCATATATTATTAGTTTAAACTTACTATTGTTTGTTCCGCACGCGCGGGGAAAGAGAGCGGTTGTGGATTTCTGGTCCAACGTTGCCTAGGGATCGGATGGCTATCGTTCGATCTCTCTAGTTTCACCGAGGGCCATTCCTGCCTCGAAACGACGTGGGCCCAAAATGCGTTCGTCCGCTCCTATTTCATCTTCCTAGACCAAAAATCCGCAATTCCTAGACTAAATTTAAAATTTTAAATTTCTAATGTATTTCAATCTTAAATTTTTCATGAATACTTTAATTAGTAGGGGTGGGCAAAAAAACCGAACTAGCAAGGTATTATACCGGACCGTAATGATATCGAACCGTTTTTAGTATTTTCAAATGGGATTGATTTTTTCCAACACGAATCGAAACCGAACCGATACCAAATGGGACGGGACCGTGATACATATATTTAAAACCGATTATCACGGACCGAACCGTCCAACGCTATATACGGAGTACGTATCTCAAATAATTATGGAGTATTTGTCTACTTCATCTTACCGTATATAGAATACTTCATATTTTATTATTTACTTTAAAACTCTCATTATTATTGTTGTTATTATATTTATCATTACTATTAGCATTATTTTTTTATAGTTATAAGTATTCTGATATTATATGAATTGAGAAAAAAATTATTTTTTAACTATGTACTCGTTATCTTTTATCTTTTATGTTTATGATTTGTTTAAATTTGAAACCAATACTTTTATTTAACAAACTTGTGCTTTTTATACAAATTTATACATTAAATTCAATATTCTTTGAGTAATGTAAATTCATTTTTTTTGGCATGGTTTGAGCATGGGTATGGTATTGTACCGTTCCATTTCAAAACAGAATGGTACCGAATGGTTTTGGAGTTCATCCCGTACCGATACCGAACCATTTAAATAAAAGCGGTCCGTGATAGGTTCCGGTAGTATCACGGACCATCACGGACCGCGCCCACCCCTATTAATTAGTATTCAAACTCGAAATTGACTGTAACCGACTAGACTGAATCTTAAACCGAATTGAATCAAAAAAATTAATATCTAAAACCGATCCGCCAAAATCAATCCCGAAGAATATTTGTAATTGCTTGAATCTATGTGTGATGAACACTTTGTATAATGAAATCTTTCATTTGACCCATCTTGAAGAAAATGTTTGATATTTACATGATGCGTTCTGATGTTGAAAATAAATATTTTTTTTAGTTGCACTGGCCATGTAGCTTAGAAAAATATTTGTAGTTAACTCATAATGTTCATGGACAATATTATTCCAACACAAATACAATTAGGATTACATGAAGTAATATTACAAATGCAACTTTAAGTCTAATCTCCCAAAATTTGCAAACTCGTCATAACTAGCCACAAGACCTGGGAAAACTTTAGCAAACTATAGTTTGTCTAAAAGCTCATCATCGAAGAAAGAATAAATGAAAAGTTTACTCTGACTCAAAGCCATGAAGTTCTGTCTCACCGCATCATCTAGAAATTTGAGAAGGTTATTGAAATAACCGTCAATGTTCAAGAGACCAATGTGTCTACTGTGCAACCCTTCATATGCCCATGAGATTAAGATGAACAAACCTTCGATAGTATCAACTCCTCTATGAAAGCCTCCATAACATGATTCATCTCGAAATACTTACAGTAAGTACCGGAAACTGTGTACTCTACACCGTATATTGGTCCGTAGACCCCTCGTGTTGCTATATGCCCTGGTATTAAACCTCTAACTATACCACCATTGTTATGGACATTTGAAGCAACAACTCCTTGAAGGCAAACGTTGCCTCCTCCATAAGTAAGTCTAATTCTTCTCTTTAGTAATTTCCTTCCTAGTTCGATTGCTATACCCATAAATTTTGGATTTCCACCTAGAGCATGACTACCAAGTAGACCAATTGATTTTATGGTGTAAGGAAGTGTTCGAGAAGTTTCTTCCATAATGTGAGAATGTAAGATACTCTTGCCACAATCGTGACATATATAGCCTCTGAATCCGACCATGAAAGGAAAGGTAATTATCACCAGCCAAAACCTATACAGTAAAATAAATTAGATTTACCTATATTACATATCGAGACTTATGAACAGTTAGATTCATTGTTCTGAAATATGTTCAAAATTCGACACAAAAAGTCTAATGCCCTAAGACAACGACCCCTTGAGTAACTTGAAAGGTTACGTTACGATGTGAATAGCCTCCAAATTCCCAACTATGCCTATGGTGAAGCTTATTACAAAGGCTATTGAAGAACGTTTCAATCGAGAAAAGAATTTTGTTGACCAACGAGACTCGTGAATGAACGAAGATATGTCAAGTATACACTACGAAGAAATTGAAATAATGAAGGATCACTGAATGCCTTGATTAATCAAAGATTTATAATCTCTCGAATATAGAACGAGTTTAGTGACATCAACGATTGAGAATACGTATGTGTAAGATAACAACGTAACCATGATTTAACTAAATGAACATGACGTGGTCATACAACAAGATGTTGATGGTGGACCTTAGAAGAATTTTGAGAATGAAATTTCTTTAAGGGGGGAAGAAATGTAATGCCCCAAAACATACTCTAAAATTATTAATGAACAATTATTCAATTAATAAAATTTGTTTTGATTTAAAAAATATTGTTGGGCTTTGGGCCAAAATAAAATGTGTTTTGATATCCAATATCATAATTTGGATAAATTTCATAGAGATAAATTCAATATGTTGATTTTATGTGTGATCTTAATTGGGAACCAGAGTACAAACTTAAATTAAGAATATATGAATAATGTGTGAACTATGAAATGAATTATTATTGAAATGAATCATGAGAATAAATTAAGGGGGTGTATTCAATTAGAATTTAGAAAGATTTAGATAGATTAGTTAAAGTCTATAGATTGTTTTAAGTCTATGCAGAGTTTAATAGATTTTAATGTATTTTATCAGTAGAATTTTATAAGAAGCTGTTCGATTGTTTATAATCCACAGATTATTTATACATGTATATGAATTATTTTAAAAATATATACATTGTTGTAACATGAACTATTGCAATTAGCTATTAAAAAACTTTGTTTATGAAATCAATAAAAAATTAAAAATAATCTAATAAAATAAAAATAATTTATTTTTTAAAAAATTATCATTATCATGATATATTTATTAGAATAAAATAAGAAATAACTTTGTTTTTACATCTAAAATTGTTATTATCTCTCTGCTATTCTTCTTGTATGTTGATGGGTAATAACCCATGGATACCGCCCGGTTGGTCCGACCGACTAGAAGGTACTGAATGTGACGCCACCTGACCTAATCAACCCGGGCTGTCTGACCGGTCTGAATGAGTAGTTCGGAAGGCAAAGATGCGGCTTCTATTTTCGAAGTCGGACTAAGGAACCGGTCAGAGGACCGACCGAATAATCAGAGACGTGCTTGACGTGTTTATGATTATTAAAAATACCCTTAAAAGCCTCGTTTGTGAGGCATTCTTTAAGTAATCCACACGGCTTGTACTTTGTAATAGCTCCTATTATCATTAATAACAAACCGAGTTACAGGTGTTTCCACCTACAACCCTTCCGATTACTTATACTTAGTATTTGCGTGGTAATTGGACTACTTATACTTACTCATATGTCAAGAGAAGACATATTCAAAATTTTAAAAGATAATTGAAAAATAAAATTAGTAAACAACATAGTCTTCCATTTCATCTTCATTATCACCAAAACCTTCTTCATTCTTCTCATTAGCATCATTTTGTGGTGCCCACATAGCTTTGGCAATGCCATGTCTCCAAACGTTAGCTTCTGTTCTTTGTTGTTGTTGAGTTTGAGAAAGTATTTCAGAATTTTCTTCCTCCATGTCAAGATATGATGAAGAAGATGACTCAAGTTCTTGTTCAGGAGGAAATTCATCAGGATGACACTCTTTACAAAGAAGTTGTGTAGTCCTGCACAAGCTAACACTAGCTCTGATTGTGTTTGAAATGGAAAGGGAGGTGCAGTTTTGAAAATGATGAAACATGATTTAAAGATACCAAATATCTTCTCAAAAACATTTCTCAACGATGCATGACGAAGATTGAACAACTCATTTGCATTTCGGGGGTGACAGCCTTGACCTCCAAAATCTTTGAGATGATACCGAATACCTCACAATGGTGCTAAAAATTATTGTCGATTCGCAAATCCATAGTCAACGAAAAAAATATTTTCCTGAAATAGAAACAGGATGACATATACACATAACAAATATTTTCATACAAAAAGTAATAAATTAACAATAAAATTAATTTACCTACCTTTAGGTACTTTGAGTCCATTTCTTCTACATAATGCATCATTTAGCATTTTTGAATCATGTGAAGATCCTTCCCACCCATTAAGCACATATATGAATTCCAAATCAAAGTTGCAAGTTGCTAAAACATTTTGGGACTGAATACCATGACGATTACAATAACTACTTACTTGACGACCGTTGACCATTGCAGGAATATGAGTGCCATCTATGGCACCAATGCAATCCTAAAGCATAATAAAATAGTAAAAAATAATAATTTAAAACAAATTTGTAGTTCATACATTTAAAAGCAATAGTAATCAAAATTGGTTCATAATCAACTTTGCGTTACTTTTCTAAAAAATAGTACCGTAAAGTAGGGGTAAAATCTTGTGTTTCCTCTTATTTTAAAAGGCACAGAAAATCCCGGATTGACCATCATTTGTGGTGCCATAGTGTTTAATGCCTTCAAAACTTTGTTAAAGTTTTGACTAGCTTCGAAATGTGAACGACCAAATCTTTGACGAACATTACAATACCAATCATTGTGACCCACAATGAGTAGAAATGTTGCTATCATTTCTTCAACACAAATTTATCTCGTATTTTTCTAAAAGCGTACCTTCTCTGATAACGGTACATAGCTTAAGAAACACATCAGGATACATTCTATACAGCTCTCGAAAACTTTGTGGATCTTCTTATAACACTCCATGTATATAATGATATCCTTTTGTAGTTACTGAGCGACGTTTGAGGGAACCTTCTACACGTTGAGGCATGTTAGTTAGAGCTTCTCTTAAAATAATCATTATTTCTTGAATGGCCAATAATAAGTTCTTGATTGTTTCATAGTATTCCTCTTTTGTTCCTTCTTCACCTATTTCTTCTCTTCCTATCACTTCTTGTTCCATTTATCTATATGACTAAGCACATATCAAGTAAAAGTAACCACTTATACTTTCACTTTATTGATTGACAAGACAATGCTTAATGTGCAGACTATGTGGGATAGCAGTGAGGTATGACTCCCAAGGTTCAAATCCTTTTCTTGAGCAACATAAATGTTATCTTGCGGTTTTGCTTGCTAGAATTTGTTTTGAATTAATATAAATGCACTTAATGAATGGGGTCTAAACAGCTTTTCACAAAAAAATGACCTTTTATATCTCATTCACTTTTGTGGGAGTCATGCGTATATTTGATGTTTTTTGTTGCGCTCATAGTGTGAATCTTGTTACCAAAGTTTAATAAAAAGCATTCATGTTCGCATTTGACTAATGAGCTTCAAGACCTTATTCTTTTAGAGCATTCACAATGGCAAGGCAATGCCTTGCCTTGCCATGTCATGTCAGCAAATTCCACTCAAATCATGACATTCCATGGCCATTCCACCCCACTTTTCATTCCATGTGCAAGGCATGACTCTCTCATTTTTTATTTTTTTAATATTTTTAATATTTTTTAATTTTTGAAAAAAATATTTTTTAAAAGAAGTAAACATATTTTAATAATAAAATAAATTTTTAAAATAATTTCTTATAATTAAAAATCATTAAAAAGTGCAAAAATAGACAAAAACAATGACTTGCCACTGTATGTTACGACACTCCACTCATTTGCCACACGGTGACTGGGTTACTTTTTATTGGTTGAAATCATCCATGTCACCGTGTGGCATTTCATTTTTGCCTTGCCATTGTTTATGCTCTTAACCGTTCTTTTTCTCTTTCAATCATGAGACCAATGTCTCATAAGATTTCACTTTTGAATTAATAGATGTTATTAACTTCATTGTATAATTTGAACAACAATTTAATAATTTAATAGATGAATTAATAAAGACCAACATCTTCATCACCTTAATATCAATTATATTTGGCTTGTTGGCATAAAGTTTATAACAACCAAACCACTAAAGTCCCAAGTTTAGGGTTCTGGCACATATGGTACCTAGGGGTGTTTAATCAGATCGATTCGATCCGATCCGATCCGAAAATTCGGATATCCGAAAATTGGGGATCATGTAAAACTCATTCCATATCCGATCCGAAAATATTCGGATATCCAAAATTCGGATATCCGATTTTTCGGATCGGATCACTGGATTATCCGAAAAGTTGAGTTTTTAGCCAAAATTTACAAAAAAAAACGTAAAATAGCAAAATCAACCCAAAATATCAAATTCAATATAGATTTACTAAAAGAAAAATTCCACCACTAAGTAATGACCTAATAAAAAAATGATACCAAATTTATTTTGGGAGTAACTTTGGTAATTTTGCCTAAACAAACAAAAAAACATTATTAAAACAAAAGATTCTAAAATGCTAATGCAAAAAGTCCAAAATGGTTGTGTTTCAAAATCAACATAAAATTAAATTTAAACATATAGTCATAATATATATCCATAAAATTCCAAAAATATATAGCAAAAAAAAATCGGATATCCGGTTATCCAAAAAATTCCAGAAATTGAATCCATATCCGATCCGATTTCTTTCGGGTATCCGATCCGAAATATCCGAAAGCTAAAATATCGGATCGGATATCCATTTTTCGGATCGGATCGGTCCGGATCGTGGACGGATATTTAGGATCGGATATTTTTGAACACCCCTAATGGTACCCCTATCTGCGATAGTTAGTTGTTCAAAATTAGATAACACTAATTTCATGCCAAAGATTATAGTCATCAAGTTTTACACCAAATGTCATTCCTACATCACAACATTTTTACAAACGAGTAGTGATAGAAATTTCATGAGACTGCTATGAGTTTCAATAGTTTCTCTGAGTCATGTACTAATGTCTTATTACATCATTACATCATTAATATTTTAAGTCAACATGGACGAATAAAGTGGAGTAAATCTAATATGCCAAAACACCATAGGATACTCCAACTTAGATTTCTAGGGACATTTCTACAAACACATAGAAGGCATAAAATATTAACCTAAAAAAGAATAAATTATGAATCAATTAAAGAGTTCAAAAATAAACAAACATGGCAAGCAACTAATTCAAATTCAAAAAAATTAACAAATTCAATATATACAAAAAAGCAAAAAAGCATAACCACACAAAAAATGCATAATCATATTATATACACACAAAAAATTGAAGGCTTGAATATGATGGAGGAGAGTTGGAGAAGAGAAGATCTTACCTTGAAGGCTTGAAGACAATGAAAGATAAGAACCTGTGCCGAGGAGAATGAGATCGAGAAGATGAGTTCTTGGGGAAGAAGGAGAAGAGGATTGGTCGGCAAAAGATTGGAGAAAATACAATGGAGTTTGGTTGGATTTGCAAAAGACTTTTTTATTTATACTTCAAGCTAAAAACCCATCACAATCAATTTTCTATAACAATCCTTAAAAGCCTATCAATTTTTTCAATATCATTAGATTTAGAAAGACTTTAAAATCTCAATTGAATACCTCTAAATTTTAAATGATTTTTTAAAATCCCAATTGAATATCCACTGACTTTTAAAATTCAAAAAAATCCTACAGGATTTAGATTGAATACACTCCTTAAATGTAAGAACCTTTTTGAGTAAAGATCAACTAAACCAATTTTTGACTCTGTCAAAAAAAATAATGTTGGAAAAAGTATTACAAATAAATATAAAAATTATATCGTTGGATAAAGTTTAACTGTTTGATCGCAACGGTACAAACAGATTTCAATTCGAAGAAAGTTAGACAAAAAAGTATACTCCGACTGGGACCGAAATTAGTCCCAATTAGGGAAGTGTCGTGGAAATATTCAATCGGCGCAGCCTCCTCCACTATCGATCGTGAATCATCAGTGACTCAGCTAATTTGCAACTTCCTTCTCCACACTACTATAAAGCAATACCTTCATCCCTCTCAACTCTTCACAAAACATCCTGAAAATTGTCCCATAAGAATCTTAAGAATAAGGGGAGCAGTCTGGTATTGTTGGTTGCTGCTGAGGTCACCAGAGTGGGGAGTTATCGTTGTCAGAAGTTTCGCCGGAAAAATTCCAAAAACACTCGTTAAGGTTTGCGGTAAGCATGTAGATATATCTTGTGACTAGAATGTTCGTATAGATCGTTTCTACGTTCATAAACGGTCATTTGATTAAATTTTGTGTTTGACATACTTGAAGAACCAAGAATGATAGACCTTGAAATTGTTGTTAAAACTATGAATTAATGATACCAAAATGATCTATGAACCTTGGAAAACATTTTTATATAATTTAATTGAAGTTTGTTAACTAAAAAGGGTATTTTCGAATTTGGACCCAAACGAAGAAGATGATGAACAATGATCGAAAACCAGCAGAGATGGATCGATCCCCTGGGTGTAATTCTCTCTACCATGGGTCGATCCAAGGTGCTGGATCGATCCCCCAAAACTTTGCTCCGAAAATACTTCCGAAAATGCTATTTTTGAGCTCTAAAATCCTATTTTTTATACCAATTAATTATGAACAATATAAATATGATTTTTCACCATGAAATGATGTTTTTAAGAAATAAAATGTTATATGATGCATGCTGTAAGTAAGGGTGTAAACACTCAAAACTAGGCTGTTATTTGCTATTTGATGTTATGTTGATTGATGGTTATGATGAATGATTATTATGGATGATTATGAATGATGAACCTACTAAACAAAATGATTACTTATGATTGAACCATGAGTAAAATAAATACATTGATAATTATAAAATGATTTGTATTGTTAAGGGTATCTAGAAGAAGTCTAAGATATACCCAGTTAGATAATTGATGATAATGCTATCTTGAAGACCTCTAGAATAGATCTCGTATATTAGAACGAACTTATGAAAATATGAATATTCGGTGATTTGGTTAAGAATATATAAAAGGGATTAATAGACAAAACTAGAGAATCACTCGTTTGGGAATACCCCGATCCGACGTTGATTCGTCGCTATAATGTTGTTGCCTTAACTGACTACAGTTAAAAGTCTGAAAACAATTGCCTTAAACTAATGATAGTTTAAGTGTTTGATTATAAATTGTCTTTTTAAAGAGTCTGGTTAATGGCCTTGACTAACCATAGTTTAATTCTGATTATGAAAATTATGATCTGGTATTTGACTAAGAATAGCTAAGAGCGTTGTTATGATCTGTCCTTAGACTAAGAATAGCTAAGAGCGTTATTATTATTTTGCCTTATATTAAGAATAATTTAAGAGATTGTCGAAATAATATCTGAATTGAATAAAATATGTTGATATGAACTCAACAATATCAAATTTGTGAATGTCTAAATTAAACATTGTGTGCATGATATCAAATGATTTGATTATGAATTTCATATTTAGTTTATATGGATGTTCGACGCATTAGATATACTTACTGAGCTTCAACGCTGAACGTGTAATATGTTTTATTTGCTACACGCAGGTAAACAGAAAGAACTATGTGATTTTGGCGGCAGACGGGGTGAGATTGTCGGGATGGATGTGACAAGTCTTCAAATGAATTTTAAGATATGACAATATTTAAATTTGCTTCCGCAATATTGTTAATACTTCGTACTGTATATGTTATGAAAAATATTATTATAAATAAAAGTGATTGAAAAGTTTTAAATTCTTATAATTACCAAGTTAATACTTTAGTTCAAAAGGGGTTGCAGACCTAGACGGATTAGGGTGTTACACTTACCTTGCGCTAAAATGTATGATTTAGGAAAATTCCAGCGAGGATTATGGCTTACTCCGACGGCCCCTTACCAAATTGACAGCACCACTGCACTCCTCTCTCAACAAAGAACAGAATAAAAGAAGAAATGGGAAGGGTTGGTGAAGAATTGAAGGAGTTGGGTACTCCTTATATATGAATGGTGAAGGGAAGAAGCTAATTTTACATTGCTTCCTTTCCCAGTTTGATTGGCTTAGTTGAGTGAGCGTCGACGTTTGAAGATTTACACGTCTTCCCCTGATTGGGACTAATTTGGTCCCAATCGGAGTACACTTTTTGGTCCAATTCTCCAAATTATAAGCACGAAGGGTAAGCACACAGTACACTAATAAACTGTAGTAACACGCCCACTCCACCTTTATTCTAGTATTAACGGTATCAAACAAAGGGAGATGGAAGGCGTGAGTCTCAGGGCGCCACCTCTCAATTAAGGAGGTGATCAAGCCCCAATAGAGTTACACTCTACTCACTCGATCCGCCCTGTAAAACCCATTATTTCGTAAAATAGCATCAACTTCCCATGAAGAAAACATGCCACCCCCGTTGTAAACTCCCAAATTATCTAACACACTTCAAACCAACATCTTCGTATTCTAAATCATGCCACACCCCTCTCGCTTCTATGTTCACTCGGTTTCAAAGTTAGAAGGTCTCGTGCAATTGGTCTAGGGTGTACACTATAACCTTCAAAATTCATAGTTCTACAATAACAAGATCTTATACTTGAAAAATTAAACATTTCGTAAGAATTTCATGACCTTAAAAGAGTTTAGTCAACAAACTCAAACAAAAAAAGACATGTTGAACATGGAATCACAAAAATATGAAACAAAAACATGGATTTACAAAAATACATAGAACATGAAGCAACAATATGAAATTAAACATCACTAACATTATGTTGAATGATTTTCTAAAAAATATAAAATTGGAGTGAAATCACATAGGAAAATGGAGGTATTACTTCTGTTTGAGCTCTGATGTTCTCTGGTGACGTTCGATAATGGAGGTCCTCTCCTCCGGCGCGGGAATGGAGGTCCTCTCTTCTCTCTCCGGCCTTGTCGTCCTCCCGCGTTCGGATTTTTTGGGAGAACCAGTTTGGGATACACATGGCTTTTTGGGAAGATGGAAGGGCAATAACACATTTAAACAAGACGAAGGTATCAGCTCTGTTTTTCCATGTGTCAACCACGCATTTTTAAATGACATATTTTTCATTTTCTTATTTTTTAAAAATTCAAGACATCACTAGTACTTCTATTTTACCATGTGTAAACTCCGAGTTTTTTAGGTGGCAGACATTTTAATTTTCTAATTTTTTTAAAATTCCAAAACAGAGACTTTACCCTCACATGCACTGATAGAAAGACCTTTTTGGTTTCCTGCATATATTAGTACTTACGGCAAGGTTCCCATGACATTGCCCGGCAATGTCATGAGATGACCCGGGGGTGCTCCAGTGCCCCGCTCGTAAAATTTACATTTCCTACCCTCCCTAACCACCCGGTAAACCCCCCCACCCCGACACGAACACACCCCCACCCACTTTCAATTGCACCCCATAAGTTGATTTGGACTTTGGAGTCAAAATTTGACGCCAAAGTCAAAATCAACTTATGGGGTGCAATCAAAGGGGGTGGGGGTGTGTTTGGGTCGGGGCGAGATGGGGGGGTTTACAAGGAGATTAGGGGGGTAAGAACTGTAAATTTTACGAACAGGGCACCGAAGCATCCCTGGGTCTTCCCATGACATTGTCTGGCAATGTCACGGGAACCTTGTTGTAGTACTTAATTAAAAAAAACCACCCACAATTGCACAAATTAACAAAACCCTTTCCACTATTGTCAAAAAATTACAAAACCCTTTCCACTCGCTCACCGCACGATTAAAACACAAACCACAACTACTCTTCATTCTTCTCTCCTATTGGTCGATGCACCAACATAAATGATTGTTGTTGGTGATTCAATCAAAGAACCACAAAGAAGTACTCAAATTAGCTCCAATCAAATTCTAATCAAGGTTTAGATGAGTAATTCGATATTTGATTGTTCCCTTGGTTTTAACCGGTTTTATCGTGTTTGTGTTGCTTTATGTTGTGAGGATGCAATGCTTGGGCATGGGTTTTGGGTGTGATTGGGGCGGGGTCTAGGTGTCAAAGGGTGGGCTGAGTGGTGGGCTTCAAATGGGATGTAAGTGGGTGGGGTGGTTTGGACTGTGTGGCAGCAAGCCTAGTATTGGCCGGCTGAGGTAGGGGTTTAGGATATGTTTGGGTGGAGAGAGGTGGAGGTAGGGTAAGGTAAGATGATTTTGTTTGGGCAAAAAAATTGAGATATGTAAAAGGAGGTGAAGGGATGTAATTTAAGCTCTTAAGCATGAAAAAATTGAGACTCGACAATAAACCTAGGTAATTCTTCGATTTATTTCGTTCTTCCGCAGCCATCCCCCATCCAACCACAATCGTTCTCTCCTCTTGCGATTCTTCTTTCCTCGGGCTACAATCCTTCTCTCCTCCGGCGATTCTTCTTCCCCCATCCCCCATCCTCCGAGGATCCTTCTCCTCTGGTGACACCCTTCTCTCATCCTGCAGATTTCAGGAACCTTTTTTTTGCTATTTATTGAAATATCATGTTTTTTTGCTATTTTACTTTTTTTCTTTCTATTTTTTGCTTTATTTCGCTCTTTAGTGAAATATTCAATTTTTCTCTATTTTTTATGTTTTTTTACTGTTTTTTAAACGGTTTGGACATGATATGTCCAAACACCTTAAAAAACAGCAAAAAACATTAAAAAATAGGGAAAAACGGGATATTTCAATAAAGGGCCGGCCCTAGGGGGACAAAAAGTCCGCCCGGACCGGGCCAATGAATTTAAGGAGCCCAAAGAAGCCCATATAGCCCAATACCATCCTTCTTACCCGTACACAAAGAAGAAAAAATAACGCAGGTAGAGAGGCCGACTGAACAAATTCGCCAAATCAGAAAACTGCCGGTAGAGAGACGCCGCCGCCGCCAGAGTCCAGACGCCGCCCGGATCCGACCCTCCAGCCTCCAGGTATTCCGTATTCATAGCTTTCCAATTTTGTAATTTTTTTCTTTCATTTTTCCATTAGATTTAAAATTTCGGGTTAATTATTGAATTTTAATTAGAAATCTTTTCTAATTGCTATGAAGTAGGATGAATTAATGGTTCTATATGTTATTTATTTGATTTGGATGAATTGATTTGAATTTATTATATATTTATAATTTTATTTATAAAAAACTGAAAACTAAAAAAAATTTAAAAACTGAAAAATTGATATGAATTTATGATATATATAAAAAATTAAAACTAAAAAACTGAAAACTAAAAAATTTAAAAACTGAAAAATTTATGTTATATATATATATATGTGTGTGTGTGTGTATATATATATATATATATATATCCTGTTTTTTTTCAATTTCTTGGAGCTATTGGTGGTTTTAATAAAATTTGTTGTTTATTGAATTTAGGATTTTATAATATGCGTTGTTTGAATTTGTAGAATAGTAATTGATACAGATTAAAAGAATCTTTATAGAATAGTAATTTGAATTTGTTTGAATAGTAATATGCTCATATTATAGCATGGCTAAAAAAAGAAATCGGGAAGGTGTGCTATTCTATTAAATAAAATAAAAAGAATGTTTTAAATTGATACAAAAATAATATATTAGATTTACCTTATAAAAAATTAGCAAAATATTATTTTACGTAATTAGAATACTATATAATTTTATGTCAAAGGTCAATTATGATTTGACGGACGTCACTTTGTTATTATTTATATTGAGATAAATACAACAAACTAATAAAGTACAAAACAGGCACAGGGGTTTTTAGTAATTTTATTGTTTTACCTACCTTACATTACCTAATAATTATCCAAACACAAATTTTCAATCTATTACCTTACTTTACCTATCTTTAATTACCTACCTTCAATTACCTACCATTACCTACCTAATAAAACTTTACCTCCCTCAATCCAAACATAGCCTTAGACTTAGGTGGTTCATGTCTGCTTTGGTACAGCCCTAGGGGTGGGTCTACGCTAGGGGGTTCATGCTGCCAATAAGCTAGAGGGAGGGGGAAGGGGGTTCTGTCTGATTGTAGTAAGGGTTTGGTCTGGGGGGGGGGGGATT